GTTTCCCAAAGTGGTGGTGCCATTTGTGAACCACGAGCAATGTATGAGGGGCCAGTCGCTTCACTGCCCCAGCAGCACCTGGGGTTGTCCGTTGTTCTGAATTTGATCTGTTCTGCTGGGCGGACAGCGGTGATCGTTTGTGTTGTCTGCTGACATTCCTCCCAGTAGCTACATTCACTGGAGGCTGGAAGCCCGCCTGCCAGGTGCTGGCAGCCGTTCGAATGGCCCAGAGGGGCAGCTCCTCCTCTCGGAGGTGCTGGGATGACCGGGTCTCGAGGGCCAGGAATTCCCTGCTGGCTTCCTGTTTTCTGTTAGAAGGGGCTGGGGGCAGGCTTCCCACCCCACCTGCTTCCGGACAAGTTGGGACAGTGGGGTTTGGTCAGCCGGTCTCCTCCTGGGGCCCCCTCTGCATCCGTCCTTGTGTCCCCCACCAGGCTGGCCTCCCTGCTCTGCACCTTCCCCGGAGGACATACGTTGGTGGTTTTCCCAGGGACGGGAGGCTCTGGGTAAGAGAAAGGCCAACAGGGTTGACACACTTGTGTGAGGGGTTCACAGTCCTTGGGCCATGCTGGCTGACCTTCTCTTCCTAATCTCCCCTCTTCTAGAAGTGTGAGCTCCGTGCAGGGAGGAGGTGGACCCCGGCGTGAACCCATCCCCCCGGATGCCCTGGGGGAGGGAGAGCGGAGCCCAGGCGGTGGCTTCACTTTATTCTCACATCTGTTTTCATTATCACAGTTCTTCTCCATTGACACTTGAAGGGTCATCTGACCTTGGCTGTTGCAGAGAGGGATCGAGTTGTGTCAGCTTCTGGGGAGGGAGCCTGCTCCCACCCTCTTCCGTCATGACCCCGTGAGTGTTCTGTGGATGGAATGGAGCACCTGGCAGGGAGGAGTCGTGGGGCATGTGGACCCTCCTCCCCGCCTCGCCCTGCTAGGTGAGGGTGAGCCTGAGTGTGAGATGAGGTTCTACCTAACTCCTCTGTTCTGCCCCCATCTTCAGAATTAAGAGCGTGGAGAAGCTTCTGTGCCGACACTCCCAGCATCTCTCCAGCGGAGGTGGGCACCATGGACCTGGAGGGCTCGGAGAGCGGCTGGCCTGGCAAGATGCCCTTCAGTTTCGAGGTGTTATTCTTGGTCTGGAAACCCGAAGGAGCTCGCTGGTGTTTTACGGGCTTGCCCCGCTCCCTCGGAGAAGGCGTTTGGACCCTGTCCTGGGCTCCATCTCATTCCCTTGTGCCTTTCATTGTTTCCCTTTTTAAAAATAAATTTCTCTTCATTTCAGCTGAGTCATTTTCCTCCTCCTCCTCCTCTTCGTGACAGTCCCGGGAGCCGGAAGGAGCCCTGTCCCGAATCCTTGGCTCCTCCAGGCCAGATCTTTTCCAAATGTCAAACTCTCAGGAACCTTGGCACCCGGTGGAGTGGGCTCTGGCCCCGAATCTCTTTTCTCCTTCGTCCCTGTCAGTCTCTGCTTTCCTTTCTCATGAAGGAGTTTACAAACTGGCTTTTCTGTGGGCCCCTTGCCTTGAGGTTTGCTGGGTGCGAGCCTGGCAGGAAGGCGCTCAGCTCCCCAGCACGGCCTCGGGGCCACTCAGGGGCTGCTCTCCCACCCTGGAGAGGGTGTCCGCCTGGTTACGCTCTGTCCCCTTGTGTCTGGCTCACATTCTGGGGCTGACCTGTCTGTGGTGGCCATGGAAGACACTGTTCCTGCCTCAGAGGACCTCCAGGACCGTGGACAGGATGGGGCAGCTCGTCCCTTCTGCGCTCTTGACTTCCTGCTCAAGCCTTCGGACACGGCCGGGAGAAGCGACACCCACCGTTGACATGGCGCCCGCCATCTTCAAAGCATCTCCTATGCGTTGTTGCTTTCATGCAGCTGCAGTCATGTTCTCCTCCCTACCCACTGCGACGGACGCAAGGCAGCTGTTAGTTTCCTTCTTTTGTGGCCAAGGAAACAGGCTTAGAAAGTTTAACTGGTTTGCCAGGGTCTCAGGACCAGTCATTATTATTTTAAAAAAAAATTTGTTTTTTCAGTCATAATTATTTAAAAAAAAAGAGAGAGAGAGAAAGAGAGATTTACCAGGTGCAAGACAATAGTTTCTCTGTCTCCTGACTACAAAATTACTAGACCTGCCGGGGATTTTTAATTCTGACACCCCCTTGCTGACTCTGACATGTCGATGCCCCTTACACAGACACAAGGATTTCTTTCCTTTAGGAGTTAAGATGAATGAAAACTTACCCAATTTGACAGTCTGGCCCTCTTTTGGACAAGAGGTCTCACTCATTCATTCATTCTCACTGTGTCCTGGCGGGGCTGCTGGAGAGACATGAAACCATGTGCAGAGGCGACAGTCTCTGCCCCGATGTTCATTTCCAAGGATGAACTTAAAACCCTAGTTTCGATGTGAAGAATGTGCCGTAAAATCCTCCAGCCTCTCTTGGGGAAGCCAGTCTCCATGGAAGTGGGGAGACTAACCACCCTGCAACAGCCATGCTTTGAGAGGCCTCAGGGGACGTGGTGCCACATGGAGCGGGAGAGAGAGAACGGGATTGGGGGCGCAGGGAGCACCGAGGCGCCCTCTGGAAGGGCCTGGCCATCACCTGGGAAGGCAGCTGACACCATGTGGACAAGAGACCCATCGCCCAGCAGAGCCCTTTCTTAAGTTTCTGATCCACAAAATCGTGAGCAAAATAAAATCATTGTTTCAATCTATGAAGTTTCGGGGTTTGTTTGTTACCATAACAACGAATAGCCAGGGCAGAATTTCAGGGCCTGGTCATTCTCCCTGCACGAAGCCCTCTTTGGCTCCCCTAGTCCTCTGCTGAGGATCCTTCAAGACTCGGGAGGGCGAGCAGGCCGGCTGCCCACCTCCTCATTAGGGTGCCTTCCCCCACTTAGCTTTAAGAACCATGAAAATCCCCGGAAACCCTCCAGTGGAACATGGAACTAGCTGATCGTCCTCTGCGCCTTGTGAGCAACTGCCCTGCCTCTGAGAATTCTCGGAGGAGCGTCTCTTGTCTCTCCCAGATTTTAGCTCGTCCGGGCAGATCCGACGTGCAGGGGTGGTAGCTGGGTGCACAGCCTTGAGTGCCAGGGGGCTTGAGTTCTGTGGGACAGCAAGGTTCATCCTGGTGGGGCCTGCTTCGTGCTTGGCTTTCTTTCCCTCCCCCGTTCTTTTTAGGGAGTGAGTTTCGAGTGTGCGTTTTTTCTGGGGAGTGATGAAAACCAAACTGCTTATGCAAGCAGCCACGCAGGACTCCTAGCCCAGGGCTTGCTTTGCTGTTTTCTTCATGTCTCTGCCCCCCCCCCAGTAATTTCACATGAAACCTGTTCTCTGGCTGGGCTTGTCCCCCTCTCAGTAGTGGGCTTTCTCTTTTGTTGACTTTAGAACAAATTCAGATTTCTGTCTCCAGATTTCGGGATCCACAGCTCCAGCTTCCTTTGGAAACTTTGCTTAAATACCAGCATATTTGGAAGAACATCTAACCCTCCCACAACCTAATCATTCCTGAACCGGTGGATTGGAGCAGTCCTGAGGGCTGGGGAGAGGCAGCTGCGTTTCTGAAGTCGGGGGGGGTATTTAACCCACATTTTTACGTCTGGAGTGATCGGTGGTAAGACAGAGCAGGGTGAGCCCTGCCACCCTCTGGAGCTCGCTAGCTTAGTGACAGGCTCTAGGGATATTACGAAGCCTTTGATGGGGGTGGGGGAAGAGCGTGCGCTTAGCATGCACAAGGTCCTGGGTTCAATCCCCAGTGCTCCATTTAGAAAAAAAAAGAGAAAGACTTTGAGCCTCGGTTTTTTCATATGTAAAATGAGGCTCAGAGATAGTACCTGTGAAGCGCCAGGCAGCTCCTGGAGCACGGAACAGATCCAGGAGAAACTGTAGCTATCACGATGAGGAAGATGACGGGGGAGGGGAGGAGTTCAGGGGAACCTGACTTCTCCGACAGGGCTGGCCACTGGGTGAGCTTAGCGGGGGAAGACTCAGGCCAGCCACTCCCCAAGTGCCCTCCTCAGGGACACTTGAGAAGCACCTTGACAAAAATGACCCCATGCACTGAACAGCGATGAGAAGACTCCATGATCTTCGGGCTCTCCCTTCATCTGAACCCAGATCTGAGGCTTTGCAGAGAGAAAAGCTGAGAGCATCAGTTTCCCCTTATGTTCTAAAGCGGGGCTCCTCCAAGGTGCTGTAAATACAAGAGTGTAATTATTCTTTTTCCAAGCCCTGTGTAAAATTGGAATAATATTGATTGGTTTAAATGAAAAAATAAATCAAATGTGGAGAACCCAGACCTGACCTGGGGGAAAGCACATGGGCTGAGAGTCACAGGTCTGGGTTGGGGTCCAAAGCCCCTCCCCCACTCACTAGCCATGTGGTTTGGGAGAAGTTGCTTTCCCTTTCTGTACCTTGGCTTCCTCACCTGCAAAACGGGGATGATATTTGCTACTTGTGGGATGTAGTGGGGATGGGGGTCTGTATGCAGAATGCCTTAGCACGGTACCCAGCAAATTGTGGGAACCCCAATGTTGGGGTAAACCGTGGTCAGTCAGGGACTCCACCTCTGCTGTGTCATGGGAGGAAGATTTGGGGAGGAAGCAATGGGCTTCCTTGCCCTTGCAGGGCGACGGAGCTGTTGTGCTGGTGGCGTCTACCGCAGGCTTAGTCTGAAAGAAGGGAGTGGCAGGGCTGCAGGGGAGACTCCAAGGGGAGACCAGAGGGAGCTGTGAGGACAGTCCCGATGGCCCCGGGGCTGGTGCTTCCAGCCCAGCTGTGAGGTGCTCATTCTCCCCTTTGTCTGGGTGACTCAGGCAGGGTTCTGCACAGAGTCCCTGTGATGGGGGAGAAGCCCAGGGTGGCCTTCCTCCCGGCTGCCCTTCCCCATCAACCAAACATCCAGCATTTTAAATGGACTCAGAGCCCACTTGCTCACAGCCATCCCCCCGGCCGTGGACGTCCAGAGCCCTCTCAGACAATAACGCCATTCAAGGGGAAGTCAATTATTTAAAACCTTTATTAATGCTTGGAAAAAGAGAATGCCATGTGACAACGTACAGGTCCTTCTGGCTAAATCCATAACAGAAACAGATATTCTGGCTTAGCAAGCTCACGTGGTGCCAGCTCTGAGATCACACGAGGGTTGTTCTTCCTTAGGAAATGGGCCCGGGACACATTGTTTTCCATGCTGGTGTAGTGAAGCCTTTCCCTTGCTTGGTTCAAGTTTAAATTTCTCTCTCTCTCTCTCTCTCTCTCTCTCTCTGTGTGTGTCAAAGTGTGAGCACAGCTCTGGGCTGGTGTTTTCTATTTATTTAGTTTTGAGTGTCGGCATTTCATTCCACTCAGGCCTCTCATTTCAGAATAACAGGGCTATTTATTGATACAAAGGAGAGGTGTTTGGATCATCTTGTTAAGATGCAAAGCTCAAAATAAACATCGTATCTTTATTTGGAAATCCACATCCTTCCTCAAAGGAAGGCTCATGAGTAAATTTGGATGAAGCTATGAAGCCCAAGTTGAGGGTCTGTTTTTAAGGACGACTCTGCTTACTTTTTAGATGGTACAAATGCCTCTGTCAACGCTGAGAGGAATTCAGACTTTCCTCAGTTTTGAGCAGAAGAATCTTAGCAATAAATACTACTGGATGCTTCAAACCAAAGGAAACAGAATGCAATGCTTTCTACCTGACTTGGGAGAAGAAACAAACCAGTGGCATGAGAAATATTACAACTGAGATCAGGGAAGAGGTTCAAATCAACAGACTAAGCCATTTTACGCTTCGGGGGAAAAAAAACACTGAGATCATAAATACAAATGACAAATATTTACAATAGAAGCAACAAATGGGACATCAGTAGGCGAACATGCAGAACATCCACAGTGAGGAAAGTATAAAAGTGATGCCTCGCGTCCCTCCAGCCCAGGAGCTGGTGAACAAGTGAGCAGCTGACCCAGCAACGCGAGAGAATGTTATTGCTTCAGCTTTTGAGTGATGGAAGGAAAACAGTCCACGTGCTGCGTGGCTTGAGACAGCCAGGGCTTGTGTTCGGTTCCCATGGCAGAGCCAGACACACCGGTCCTCCTCCCCTGCCTTCTGCAGCTCCAGCTCTTTCTAGGTGCTTCTCCCAGCCTTCCAGCCCCCTCCCCCAACACCCAAATGGTTCCTTTGCAACACGGATCATGAAAGGTGGGGGGAAGGACGCTCCAGCACCATGTCCTGGCAGCAATGAGATGGGATTTGGGGTGTATAAACACTAGCTGTGCTTTGGGTAAGGGCATTCGGTGGAACAAATCATTTTCCAGCAGATAAATTTAGCTGCTTTATCTCTGGCCTCGGGCTGCTCTGAGGGAGCGCTAAGAGCTGATATAAATGGAGAATGCATACTTTTTTGCCCAGTCACTCGAACAGCAGTCAGCAAACTCAGGCCCAAGAGCCAAATCCAGCTGGGCGCCTGTTAAATACAATTTTAAGTGAGTGGAGCCAAGCCTATTCGTTACGTGTTGTCTGTGTAGGTCTGCTTTTATGCTACAAAGGGTGGGTTGAGTAGTTGCAACAGAAACCACACAGACCATCAGACTGAAAATAGCGTATTTGCTATCTGGCCCTTTATAGAAAAGGTTTGCTGATCCTTGCTCTGGAAGGACCTGGCCCAGAACATCCGTCCACTCCTTGCAATACTGGGCTCCTATGTGAGTACCGGCTGCAAGAAAGGAGAAGCCTTCTTTTGTGACCTGTTAGGAAGGAGACAAAAGCTCTCTTGTCTCTGAGACTTTTTCGGTGGCCGCAGGATCTCCAAGACCTCCACCGCTGATGCTTCCTGCTCTAACCCTCTTCTTCCTCTCCTTGTATTTTTAGTTCTGCCTCTCCTCTCTGCCTTTCTTTTGTCCACTCCGACTCCTTTCCTCATCGCTAAATTCTTCAACTCAGATCTGGGAAATCTTGTCTCTCAGCGATTTTCAGCAGGTCGCCTCCATGTATGTGAAAGGTCGGCATTCCCTGGTGAAAATGACTGAGCAGTCATTCTCTGTTCCCCTTTTCCATTATCTAGCACAGGAAAGCCAGCTTTCTTACGTGGCCTCACGGAACCCAGGGTCTGATGCTTTATCCATCTTGACTGAGGGTCAAGGTGAGACGACGAAACGCGAAGGGAAGTCTGTCAAATGCCCTCTTTGCCTGTGCGTTTGCCTCCAGGTGTGGACTCTGCCCTAAGTGGCAGCCAGCCCACGTCAGGCAGTCAGATGTACCGCTACGTCACTTTGGGTCCTTTTAAAATAGCACTTAAATAAAATTTAGCCCCCAAAGATGGGTTGTTTTTGTTTTGTTTTCCTTTGAGCTGGTTTTAATGACCCAGTTGCTTTGTTTGAAAGCTATTTATTTAGACGACAGATATGTAGATGGAACTGGATAAATAAAAAAGTGAAATTGAGACTTGAAGCAGTGGTTAAAATGCAAACACATAGGGGCCACTCCCTCGGACAGGGTCCCCAGACAGAACAATGGCTCAGAAATTACACTTTGAACCCTCGCCCTCCCCGTCCCAAGTCACTCCAAACCGCAAGGTCCCATGCAAGAAACTGGATTTCGGTTTGGCACCAAGTACCCACACAGCCCCCTGCTTCCTCTGCACCCTTCTCCTGATTCCCAGGGAGATGTTCACACCCATTCCTGCTGCCCTCCGCCAAGGCAGCACCAGAAGCTGCGGGCGGGCCGGCACCAAGTGCCCAGTCCAGCCCCCGGGGAGCCTGCTGACCCCCGCCCCTCCCCGTCACCTCCCACAGCAGAGTAAACCGCAGGCCGCCGCCCAGAGGCTCCACGGATGGAAAGAAGGCAAAGTTGCAGGGAGGCCGGGAGCTCCCTCACGTTAGGATGTGCAGGGGTGGGACCCGCCGGGCACAACCGAGCCCTCGCTGCTGCCCAGGGAGCCTCTGCCTCACCTGTTCGTGTCGCTAACATACACCTTCGTCAAGTCCGCAATCCCCATCAAATCCTGCGTGTGACATCCCCCCTCTTTAATGGCAAATGTTTTGGAATGTCCATAGAGAAGAAAATGGACGGCATGGAGGAAAGACTTCCCGGCCGGGCCTTTCATTTCACCTCCGGATGTCGGAATACTCGGACTGGTCATCCTCCCACTCGCTGCTTCCAGAAGTTCCCTGGGCCCCGTGGCCGGCCGCTCTGCCCCGGGCGTGGGCGTGTGGATGGCTCTTGCTACCTCGCTCGCCCTTGGCGCCTCGGCCTGTCTCTCGACTGCTGGGCTCCGAGAGGTGGTGACTCGCTTCCCCGTGGTGGGCCCTGGAAGGCTTGGCTCTGTCCCCCTGGAGCTGGCGCTCAGGAGGCACCGTGGGGGGCCTCTGGATGGCCGAGGTGCAGAAGCTCAAGATGGAGCACAGGCTGCCCCAGCTCTGCTCGCACTGAGCCTGCACGCTGTGGGTGATGGCCTCCTTCACCTCCTCGCCGCAGGTCAGCAGCAGGTTCGCCAGGTCCACGTAAGGTCTAGAAATTGAGACACAGATACCGAGGATGGAGCATGTCCCGAGTGGGCTGCCGAGGGCAGTGCCCCTACCAGGGAAGAGACGTGGCCAGTGCTTGGCTTGGTGAAAGATCTTTCTGGAATTACTATCAAGCCTTTACCCATATTCTGTGGAATACTGGTCTCAAGTGACATTGGTCTGGCTGGCCATTATGTTCCAGGCTTCCAAGGAGAGAGCCCGCCACAGCGAAAGGGCCAGTGCCAATTCTCAGGTGCCCATGATGAATGCCTAGGAAGAACCTCCGGGGAGGCAGGGCAGGAAGGCCAGGTGGGACAGCTGTGTGCGTGAGAGGAGGGCAGGAGAGCTCCGGGCTGTTCAGGGAATGCCAGCTAGGAGGATTTTAGCTGGACAGGAGATGGGTCTTGGAGCCAGTAGAATAATACTTAGGCAAATGGTGAGGAGCCTTAAATGCTACACGGGGGAGTCTTTAAGGCAGGGAAGTGAGGTTGGCTAGCTTTGCACTGGATGTCCTTCTCCCAGTGGAGCCTTTTTGAACTGAGGTTCCCAAGAAACCTTTCTTCCCATGTCTGTGTTTGCCCCTGGTTTGGGCTTGGGATTGATGAAGGGCATTTTGGGAAGTTCCTGGGTGCATGTTCCTCCTTATCTGGAGGAGTCTGGAATAGGCAGTGAAGGGTAGGGGCACATGGATTCCCATGGAGCTCTTCCCTTTCTCGGTAGGAGAGGCTGGAGGAGACGGCTGGCCACGGGGGGCCGACGTGCTTGGACCGAGAGCCAGCTGTCTGTGAAATAAGCATGCTTGGTTCCCAAGGGGAGAGAGCCTGTTATTCAGGCCATCTGAGCTGCCTGGGGTAGCTCTGTAGGACAAGTGCTGGAGGAGGACGAGCCACATCATGCAAGCCTTTCTCCTGGGGGTGGGAGGTGTGTGCAGTGTGCCTGCTTCTGACCATGCACTTCGAAGCCCTGGGTCACCCCCGTGGGCAGGGAACTCACTCTGGAAGGTGAGATCATTTATAAGAAAGACTTTCTCTCTCTGTGAGCCTGGACCACCTGGGTGGCTGCATTATCGCCCATTTAATCTTTTCTCTGCAAGTTGGCAGTTGTTGCCAAGCAGGAGGAGCAGATTGTGTTGTAAGACTTGTGAAATAGTTTACTGCCATTTGTATGAATTAGTCCTCAAGTTGTAATTGAGTGAACTGCCCTCATTTCACAGATATAAAAATGGAGACAAGGCGGGGGTGGCAGGGAGAAAGCGGCTTTGGGAAGCTTCTGGGCCAGGAAGGCCTGGGGCTGGGCTGCGAGCAGAAGGGAGGAATGTTCTGGCTGATAGAGATCAGGCTGCCTTTTAAGGCCTACTTGATGCCTTCAGAGTCAGAGAGACTGGGCATGGCTGATGGGCAGGGCGCTTCCACCCTCTGAGGTTGGCCCCTAACAGTGACGAGGACAGTGACAACCTGAGGCTGGAGCTGAGAGAGGAGGGCACGGGCCACACAAGGGAAACGCTCAGGGCCTGTCTGTTTCCTTCTTTTGAAAACTAGCAACCGACTGCCTTGGGGAGTTCAAGTTTACTTGGTATATCTGCTCCAGCAGCATCAGGATGTTAGCACCTGATTGTACCTGCCACCCGCTGGGGCCGGATAAGCAAACTGCAGTTGCAGAGACTGAGCATCTCTCTTTCTGGGACACTAAACCCGATGCTCCTTCTTCCAGTTTCCCCCAGAGGCAGGAGGGGAGGGCCCTCTTGGGAATGCACGGACGGACGGCCTCTTGGCCTCCTTCGCCAGGGCGTCCTGCCCGCCAGATGAGCTCTCAGAACCCCAAGGCGGATCCCAGAAGGCTGGACCAGCCCACGCTCTCTTCTGCCCTTGGCGCTCTCTGCCGAGGAGAGAGCTGTGACCCGCGGGGAGGGGTGTGTGTTAATCTGAGCCGTGTTCCGAGCTGGCACGGTGCCTTCCGAGGCTGCAAGCTCAGCCCGTGTCTAATGACAAAGCCCAGCTCTCTCCACTGGGCGTCAGCAAGGCTAAAGGGTTTTTAAAAATACTTGGAGGGGGACGTGCCTGGAGGCTGCCAGCACCCAGTGACAGGGCGTGTGGTGGCCAAGCAGTTGACAGGGAGAAAGCGGGCAGGAAGGGGTGAGGGAAGCAGAGGGCAGCCAAGCTAGAAGGAAGCCACTTTGGGTGAGGAGCAGGATCAAGGGATGGGGTGATGTGGATTCTGGGGTGACTGACTTCCTTCTGTCTAGAGTGAAGTGCAAATTCAGTTTTCATTTTCTTAGCTGTGGCTGATGCCACACATTCGTAAAAGGTCTTCTTGATATCTGGGGGCGGATGGGGTCTTTTGTGCCCAAATCAGTTTAAAATAGTTAAAAACCCCAAGAAACTCAGTCAGTTCAGTTTGAAGCATTAGTTGACACACTGTGTAGTTGTGGCTTCAGAAAGGAAGGTAGTGGGGAGGTGGAGGGGCTGGCTGGGCAGAAGGCGAGGGGACTTGCACGCAGCCACACTGAGTGTTTAAGAAAGAGGCCCAGGTTTCCTTCTGGGGTGGACTACCTGCATTTCCAGGGCAGGCTGCTGTGGGGGCTGCGTGTTGGCTGTAAATGATATGAGGTGGCCTTTAGAAGTAAGGGGCTCGTGGCCTCACAGACCTTGCTTCCATGGAGGAGGCACCAGAAAGTCACAGGCCTTACCTCTTCTTAAGATTCAAGGGGTGGGGGGTGGGGTGGCAGAAAATGTCAAGACCTTTAGTTTTCCCAAAGAAGATTTTCTCCAAAAATGCAAAGTCTTCTGGGCTCCAGGAATGTTATTATAGACTTGAAAACAAGTGCCCCATCATCCATTCTTGAGGCCAACAAACTCTAATGGGTGACAGTGGACTGAGGACAAAGGAACTTCATGAGTTTCTCAGCAACGGGGTGGCTGCCTTTTCCCAGGGCACCTTGAAGGAGGGAAATGTCACAGTGCTCTGCTTGTGTAATGGGGGTATTTTTGAGAAAAGGGGAAAATCCTGCCACATTTGGAGAACAATGAGCCCTTTGCAGGTCTAGTGGGGGAGAACGCAGGCCCGCAGCAAAGAGGTTGGAGGTCTGTTCCTGACAACGGGCTTCAGAATCACCAATTCCGAAGTTGGAAACAAACCTCAGAGCAAGATCTTCAACCTCTAGCTTCACTTTCTCCCTCTGTTAAGTGGGGACAGTGTTCTCTGTCTTGTAGCACTGCTGTGAGAGGCAAATGCGCTACTCTGGTGAAGTCCTTGGCCAAGGGCCTGGCCCACCCAGAAAACTGTAGTCATGTTATTGCTATTGTCATGGATTCTATTGTTACTTTGTTTCTTTACGAGTATTTGGAGGCAGAGAAAATATTTTATCAGGCATTCATCTAACTCAAAGAAAAGGCAACATTAGTTTGCTCTTGGCAAGAGCTGCCTGTGGAGATTCACGGTAAATCTTACAAATCTTAACACTGCACCCGGGGTGTGTTGCAAGATGCCCAGCCTCATAACCAAGTGGAAAGTGACAGGTGATGGTGGTAGTCCTCCGTGGTCTAAGCGGTGGGGTGGGGAGTGGCCTGTTTAGTGACATAGCTGGGGGAAGCCGTGGCACAAACTCAGGGGCAAAAGTTCATAAAATTGTACTGATTTGGCCCAGTGAGTCACTGGTGTAAGGACTAACAGTGCTATGACTTCTACTGGGCTGCTTAGCTCAGAGCTTGCTTTCTGCTCTAAGTCTCCAAGGAAGGGCCATTGCAGCCTTCAGGAGCTATTGTGTTAGGAGCAACTGTGTACCCACGTGCTTTATTTACTATTCCGCAGAATTTAAGATCCTATAGATGGGGTGTTTTTTAAGGAATGAGATGGCCTGGGTTTATCACTGAATTGCAAGTCCTCCAGTAAGTACGTTCCTATTTCCTTACTTTTGGTATAAAGGTGTTTAGCTGATCAAAGTTTTGACATTTGTTTTGCATTTTCTCTGGGAGGGTGTTCACATTAGAGAAGGTAAATTGGACCTTCTAAGGGAAAGGAGAGCTTATGGAGGCAGGATAAAAGCTCCTGGCATTTAAGAGTGTGGGTTCTGGAGCTAGACTGCCTGACACCTCGTCTGGGCCTTTGCCTTTCAATGTCTTTGTGACCTTTACCACACTGAACCTCAGTTTTCTCATCTGTAAAATGGAGATGAGATTGGTACCTAGCTCACAACGCTGTTGTTGGGATCAAGTGAAATATTCCTAGGAAACCATTAGTACAACCCCTGGCACTGAGTACACACGCAATGTACATTATTAGCTCTCGGGCATCTGCAGGGGCACCTACATGGCTCCTTGGAACACTCAGAGAACTGTTGGGATCTTGGCCCAGGGAAAGATCCTACACATACCGTGCTCAGTGAAAAGATTTCCTGTTGCTATTGCTTATGATTTTGAAACCGATTTCGGAAATTTCTTTTGCTTTTCCTGAAGGCCAGCAGGAAAGGGACTCCCAGGGGAGTCAGTGCAGCTTTCCCCATTTGACTGGAGAGTTCAGTTGCTGAAAAGCAGCCGCTCAAACCGAGGAAGACTCTCCTCCAGCCCCAGCAGGCAGCCCCCTTCCTCTATCCAAGCTGCACCATCACCCCGCTCCCCCTCATCCACCCCCTCCCTGCGGGGCAGCACTCACTCGTGCAGCAGTAAGTCCTTGAAGTGAATCATCTCCACCATCACCTGCGTGTTCTCCTGGGCGGCAGAGCACAGGTCGTGTTTGAGGTAGCACTCCCGCTGTAGCTGGAACACCATCTCCTTGATGGCTGGACATTTCCGGCTTATGCAGCTGAATCTGTGCCGCAGAGCGTGAGCCTTACACTTCAAGGCATCTTTGATGAATGACTTGCCCTGAGAGCACAGGGGAGGGAGAGAGGGGCAGAAGAGACCAGTCCTTGTTACATGCTTCGACATTCTTACCCTTGTTGGGCTTACATGGGATTTTTCTGACAACCAAACCCCAAGGCCCCGCCGCGCACTGACATCTGTGCAGGTGACAGGCTGAGGCTACATCAGGAGGTCTGTCCAGAGTGACATGATACCTCCCCATTCGGTCAGAAAGGATGTTACTCAGGAGACTAAAGAATCTGCCCCCTTCCTCCCGAGCTGCTCTGAGTCTCCCTGGTCCTGGGGGCTCCCATGGCCCTCTGTCCTCAAGGCAGCCCAGCTGTGGTTTGGTGGCAATGTTTCTGGGACACAAAGGGCAATTTGGCCAGGCATAAATCCAGAACTCATTGGTGACTCCCAGCAAGAGTTTCTCCCAAGTAGAAGGTGACTGCTTGTCCACATCTCACACCTTTCCTTGTTCCTTCTAGTCCCCGCGTGCCGTCAGGCCCGGGGGCTGGCCGTGCCTCCCCTTTCTGCCTCAGTGCCTCCCGCCGCCCCCAACCCAGACTCTCCTCTCCTCCTAGCCTTTAAGGAGGAGCATTCTTTTCCTTTTTGAAAGCAATTCGACTCCTTTAAACTGTTAGGATTACTGCCTCTAAAAGGCCCGCCTGGCACACTGCCTGGCAGCATCTGGAGCCTGAACTGCCCAACTGACAGCCCCTCCCCCACGCTCCCTGCCTCTGAGTGGCTCAGGCAGCCAGGCATACATCTGGCCTACAGTTCTCTTTCCTGGCAACCCCATTAGATTGTTCTTATCCTAGAAAGGAGACAGCTGTTGGGGGTGTGGAGGCGAGCTTGGGCCGTTAGCTCCCTTATCAACCTCTCCGGGCAGAGAGGCATTGTGGGGGACCTACCCAGGGATCCCTGCACCCCCTTTCTACAGAAACAGGCTGTCGTTGGAGAGGTCACCCCTCCGTTTTCAGACTGGCCCGGAAGTAACGGAGTTGAGAAAGTAACACGGGTTTAGGTTGGAAGTGGGAAGCCAGCCAGCACATTTATTTCAGTTCTCTCCTTTAGAGGCAGTTGCAGTGTCCACGGATAGTGTCTGATCACTGAGAGACCACCTCCCCCGTGGTCCCCTTTCCCCTGACTCTCCGGTGGGAGCCAAATGGGATGGGGGGCAGGGTGTGCCAGTTTATTAAGCGCTTCTGGGCTGAGAACTGATTTGAAAGTGATGCTTCTAACTTGCAAACATACTTCTGTTGGTTGAGGTAAGAAGGAAGATGAATTCATGCGAGGGCTGCAGCCAATCTGCGCTTGGTTTTCTTCCCTGACATCCTGTGGGATTGTCCTGAAATACACATCTTTCCTCCGGATTTCCCAATTCCAGTTCATCCAGAAGGGATGCTTTCTTAGGGAGCCTCAAGGAGTTCAAACGTTCTACACCTCTTTCCTTCCCCGGCTTCTGTTTCCCCTCCTGCCACCCGACATCCTCTGTAGGGGAGGCTGCCAGCCCCGCCATATCCCTTTCTGGTTCCCAGGCACTGCTTTGTCAGGCTCCCTCCAGGATGTCAGTAGATGTCACTGGTGACATTGATAAATCACACCTAAGCTGTTGGCTTCGTCTAGATACTGTCATGGCTCTACAATGAAATGGGAGAGGAAGTTTCTGACAACAACAGGGCACGCCCTAGTGCACATACGGGCTGGGGAGGATGCGAAGGAGGTGAGCCCAACGCCCCACACCATTTGAAGTGGGTTTGGATTGTTGGCACTGGAGCCCTACGGTTGCTTGTTGGGTTCTCTTCCTGCCCACGCAGGAACCGGGCTTTACCTTGGGGACCCTGGGACAACCAAAGTGGGTCAGGCCCTGACTGTGTTTATTATCCAGAGCAGGACTCACTCAGGGTTTGGACTTTTCCAGTTGGGAGAAGGGATCTGGTATTCAGGAGGAAGAAAAGTCTGCTACCCTGGAGGCCCTGAATTACCCATCTTGCCTGCCCACACGCCCGTAGGAGATGATGGATTTCTACAAATTTTGTGTCTCTTTTATTCTTGCCTATCAGGTGAAAATAGCTTTTGGCATATATAATTGGAGTCTCTGCCCTTCCCCCCTCGACCTATCGTTCCTAAAGTGATGGGCTTTGCAGACTCGGGTTGGGGTAGCCAGGCATAGTGTGTCCCTTAGAAGATGTTTATTATTTATTGTGACTTCTGTCTTCTCTGCTAAGAATCCTCAGATAATTACTCAACTTGGTCTCCATTCCACTCCACCCATGTAGACGCAGAGTAGATGCAGAGTGGAGAAGGATTTAGCCTACATGATAGCTCCAGAAAGCTGAACCCCAGAAGTGGAGTGGGGGAGACACTGGCATCTTGCCGTACACATAGTATGTCTCTTGCAAGTGCTAAATAACACCCTGAAGATCAGCTAAGAAAATCTGTTAACCAGCCTCTCCAATGACCATTTCAATCATGCAACACTAACCCCAAGTATTCCTCATGCTCAATATGGTTTTTACCTGGGCATCAAATTTTCCAGCGTTGTGCAGAAAAGTCATGCAAATCCCATGTAAGCCCCGAATCTCACAAGAGTTGTTCTCGAAACATTCAAACACGCCACACCCCACATCGCCAGCGTTGACCAGACAGTGCTGGATTTCCGCTAAAATGAGAATCACATACAATTAGGTACAAAATTCTCAGCCATGCTGGGGAATAAATACAAAGAGGCGGGTTGAAATAAAAGTAACGACTGAGAGAAAATTTAAGGGAAAAAAGTTAGAAATGACTGTTTCAGGATCTACAAAAACCGAGGAAAGAAAATTTCGTCACTTATCTACTTATGAAAATACCAGTATTTGGAAATACTTGTAAAAAATTAGACAAACCTACAATTACAAAAGTCACAATCAGAAGTTAAGTTGGAGCACTCCGTTTTTCATCCTTCCCATCTTATTGAAGCATTTGTGGGAACACTTGGTTGCAGAGCATAAGCCATTTCAGCCTCGTACACCCACAGACAAAAATGAGATCTCAACCGATGAGCGAGCTCTCTGGCTTTGCAGTTTATCAATGAAACACCCTTCTCTACTTGGATGAAGCCTGCTGCTAAGTCACGGCCATTTCCTTCCTGACTCCCAAATGAGAGGGTCCAAAAAGCAGTTTCAGTTCAGCTTTATGATTCAACACCTAAAATCAAAACAAAATTCCTATTAAGGCAGCGCCTCCAATCCATCCGCATTAAAAATACCAGGCTAGGGAAGCTGCGGCTTGCAAGCAGGCTCAGGAATCGAGTCAGATGGGGGCTAGAAACGCAACCTTCGCAGTTAGAGGCTCCTTTTAAACAGAGATCCGGTGTGAGATGTCACTTAATCCCCTAGAATTCCCGCGACCCGGGAGTCTGCTGCCCTCCTTCGCAGAATGTGGCCCTAATTCGTCTCTCTGAAAGGACAGGCTGAGAGGGAGTTAACTGTCAGGCTGCCGCGTGCAAAGCCTCTCTGCCTTCCCTCCCCCTACTCAATTCCCTGATTTAAACCAACCACAAAATTACATCAGAAAAGTATATTTTGGAAGAAGGGCGGGGTCGGAGGAGATAATCCGCATTCAGATTAAATCTACCGAGAGAATGAGGGGCGTGTATTTCGTTGAGGGTCACCAACTCCCGAGAATCACGTTCAATTCTCAGGGAAAGCTGGGAGGCGGGGAGGGTGGGTGAGGGTCCTAGGATGAGCGGGGCGCGGGCCCGGGGTGCCGGCACCCGCCTGCGGAGGTGGGGGACTCCCGGATGATCCCACGCGCGGCCCCGGCGCGCCGGCCAGGAGCGCGCAGGGCCGCGGTCCAGTCGCTCCGGGCGTCCCTAATGGACACGCATGCATTCCTGCTCGTGCGGTGAGCGCACGCACGCCGCCGCCGGCTTCGCAGGCCCCCTAAATAAAGGGAGGGCCGCGAAGAGCGAAGGAGCTGTAGGCAGATTTTCTTCCTTTCCCGGGAGCTGGGAAAAGGGCCAGCCCCGTGCCTTGCACGCTTGGCTGTGCTCGGCAGTTTGTGGGTGAGCGGAGAGCCAGTCGAGCGGCAGCGGGGCACGGTTCGAGCCGTGTCACCATTTCTTCGCTTGCTGACCTGCCCTGGAGCGGGAGACGGCGGCAACACCGCAGAGGTAGGCTTTGCGCCATCCGTCCCTCCTTCGGAAAGGAATGCCCCCGGAGGGGAAAGTTCGCAATGCAATTTGTCTCGCCTACAAAGTTCTCGGATGTCGGGCATCTTTTGAGGAGGGGGATAAGCGGTCCTGCTGCGGCCCGCCGGCTGGGAAGAGAAGTTCTCCGGATTCAAGGAGCAGCCCGGCTCCGGGGACCGTCTGTGCCCCTCCCCCGCAAGCCAGTTGGGATGCAGCAGGGAGCTTTGAACCGGACCGGGGACTCTGGAGCCAGCCCTGGCAGCGTCAGGCGCTGCTTCATTTACCCTCGACCGCGGGGAGGACAGCAACAAGTCCTGCCCCAGCCATTTCATCACCCCGCCAGCACGTGCGGATTCCCGGCGCGCGGAGCCCGGCGCGGACTCGCTTCGCCTGGCGCTTTCCTTTGCACGTCCCGCGCCACCCCAAGAGTTTGCGCGGCCCAGGGTGGGCGCCCAGTTCCGGGCGAAGAGCTCGGGGCGTGCTGCGTGAGTGCCCGGCGTCTTCTCCCAGCAGCTCCCCGCCGCGAGGGCGCACGCACTCACCTGTGTTCTGCAAGGACAGACGGCCTTTCTGCTGAGAGCCCCTGTCTTGGGGACCTTCGGGCGGGTTGGTAGCGTCGGTCCCTCGCGCCAGGTCGAAGGTGGCCAACACCAAAGCCAGGGTCACGAACTGCCCCAGCCGCTCGACACACATGGTTCTTGGTGTAAACCTCCCGCCCGGAGACCTGGATTCTTTGTGCTCCCTTCCTGCTCTTCCTCCTTCTTCGCCGCTTCCTCTCCTCCTCCCACTCTTCCTCCTCGCTTGCCTTTTCCCTCCTCGCGGCCGCGGCTCGGATAGAGGTTACCCAGCGCCCTCCCGTAGCTCTCCGGAGAGCATGTGACCAGGCCGTTAGCAGCGCCGCGAGTGCCCAGCAGTGGCAGGGATGGTGCCTCAAATATCCCTGGAAGCTCTGGTGTCACTTGAATGAAGGAGTCGAGCAGGTGTTGTCCCGGCGGCTGGACCAATCCGAGACCCCCGCCCGTTTGACAACACGGCCGGGAGGCGGGGCCTGCGCCCAACTACTACAGGAGGAAGCCGAGCGCCGCTGGGAGCGCCCGACAAAGTTGCCGACCTGGCGGCGGCCACGCGTTTGCGTGCGTGTGTGAGTGTGTGAGAGCGCGGCCGGAGATGCGTGCGCGTGTGCGGGTGCTCCAGGGCAATGGCCGAACGGACTTAAAAAAGTTAACAGCGAATCCCAGCTCCGGTTGCAGCTAAAGAAGGGCGAGAGGGGACGGTCTGCGCTGGGACAGCGTCCCCCCAACCCCCCCAAGCTCCTGGCTCGCATCACACCCGCATCGGGCTGGGAAAGTTTCCTCTTTCTGCCTTTTGGAATTCAATTGAGATCCTCAGCCCCAAGGCCTTGACAGATTGGAGAAGTTTCCTGGACACAGTGATAGTCGGGGCATGCTGGGCACATATGGGAATCCCTGGCGTTATGACGCTTTGCGCTTAAAAAAAAAATCCCTCGAACTATTTAAGATAGGAGTAGAAGCATTAGATATAGGACTTGGCCTGAGCGACTGCCCCATCTTCCTCTTCGCCCCGCTTTGATGGGCCCTGCAACACCTTGGGTGCCAGATTCTCGCCCCTCCCCCAATCTAGACGGATTCCAGGCTGGGCTGCAGGGATCCAGGTGACAGACTGGACTTGCATCATTTCCAGGCGGTGTCAGGGAGGCCCACACAGCCCTGAGTCAGCCCGCCGCGGAGCATCGCGTGCCCCAGAGGCTGGAGCTTGAAAGGCAACTTTACGCGTCTCCAAACATACTCTTCCATTTTTCCAAATCGCTACTCTACGCCCCGTTTTGGGCTCCCTTTACTCTCCATTCATCGCATGGAACTGGTCAAAAAATTCCCCCCAAACCCTAAAAACAGAACCCAAGGGAATTCTCTCCATCGATTCTCCTTTCGTATTCGAGCTCCCTCCCCAAGCATGGCCGGGGCTGGCTTGCCCCCGGCTGCTTTCCCCCACGGCTCGCAGAAGCAGGGAGAAAGTTGGGCGCCGCTCGGAGCGCCTCTTCCCCCGCTGTGTGTGTACGTGTGCACGCTCACGTCTCCCCGGCGCCGGGGCCGGGGACAGGAACTGCTCCGGGCATCGTCAGTCCGACGGCGCTGCTCTGGGGGCTCGCGGGGCTGGGGGAGG